ATCCAAATCTTTGTCATCTTCGTATCCGGGCCGGCGATGGAGATGTCGGCGGAGATGATGAGGTCCATGACGAGGAAGGCGTATGGCAAGCTCCGCTCAGTGGCGATGGAGGCGCAATCCGCCATGTGAATCATGACGTATTTTGCCCAATTGATCGAGGCGCCGTGGGTGATAGCATGAACCGCCTTGAGATCCTCGTTGAAGAGACATGTGTGGCTACCGTCCCGGGGGCGAAGAATCCGGGTGAGGATGTAGAGAAGAAGACGCTTCTCCGGCGGGGCTGAGTGGATTGTTGGTGCGCCGCTGTGACGGATGAGGTTGGTGATCCCAAGCTCTCGGATGACCACCGCCTCGTTGTTGAGGATCCAATCATCTCTGCCATATGTTGTGATGTCGTCACCACGGGTGGGCAGCCCTGCGACCCGAGCGAAGGTAGCCAGATCAATCTCTATGTCGTAGAGATTGATGCTACTGCGAATGGTGTCCCCGTCCCGGCGGAGATTGGAGTAGAAGGCTCGCACAAAGGCGGGATTGAAGCTCGAGCGGCTCCTGGACACGAACGACCACAGACCCGATGCTTGAAGCTGGTTGTCGAGGTCGTGGTACCCCTTTTGTTGAGGGTACAACTCGGGCAGCACCCTAGGCGGAGAAATGGGACGCTTGGCAAAGTGCGTGAGGAACCGGTTGAGTTCCTCCTCCGACCCGAACTCAAGAAGGATCCATCCAGGTATGGAAAGGGTTGAGGCGCAGAGCTCGAGGGTTCGGCGGTGCTTTTCTTCTTGGAAGCCTTAGACTTTGATCTTCCTCCGGCCATGGTTGAGGCGTTTTTGAAGAAGGATTGAAGAAATATTGAGATTTGGATCAAGGAATGAAATTATGATGTTAATGGTGTATTAGAATGAGCAAATATGAGGGATATATATAGGGAATGGGAGATTAGGCCGTTTGGATTCAAAAATATAGTTGTTGGGCAATTAATGTGGTGCCCAACGGCTCTGAATTTTTGAAATGCAGGTGCCTTCCCAGCGATGGTAGGATCTACCCATCGATGGGAAGGTCGCCACTGGAAAGCGAGGAAGGACCCAAGGCTGCCTTCCCAGCGATGTTTGCATTTTCCCATCGATGGGAAGGTGGCTTCTGGAAAAAGAACATGGCCTTCCCAGCGATGTTAATACCATCCCATCGCTGGTTTGGTAGTTTTGAAAATCCCTTTTTTTGGTGCTACCTAGGACATAACCAACTAGGCAAACTTGAGGTCAATTACTAGTAACAATGTAGTTATATTTTCTTTTTCACATGTTATATATGTCAACAGTTTCAACCTGCCAATCCAAAACTTATAACTTCACAAATTAAAATAATTCACACAAGATACATGATAATCATGATACTAGGTTTTTTTTAGGACTAAAAGAAATACAATATTCATTATATCATAAATTGTTTTTCCTGCATGTTCCTTATGTACTTTGAGTACAGTTAAATTACTCTCTTACTAGTATGGTTTCTTTTAAGGACTAGGGGCGTCCCCCTTTTGTCCACTCATAACTATTTGGTGGTACCAAACCGAAATACATCTGTGCACAAATTCTAGGATTCTAGATTGTCATGAAGTCGATCTATTGGCCTCTAACTTTGTATCTTGTATACTACCAATATCCTGATATGAATTATAAACTATTTTCACAATATCTAAATAATGTTGTAACGCCAAAGGTAATATCTTGTATTTACGTTTTTTTATATTTCAATCAATATCAAAACTATGTGCATTCCATACTAGTTTAAAGCCAAATTAAGATACCTGCTTGGAGGAAGCATTGAGACGTGGCCGTACCGGTAGAACAATTTTTTTTTAAAAAAATAATTTTTCATTCTCTTATTTCTTTTCCATCAAATGTTTTTCCTCAATTCTTTTTTTTAAAGTTAGGTCAGAAGATCATTTTATAAACCAATTGCTCTGATACCAAAATATAACACCCCACCCTGGATGACCCGAGTCATCTAGACCAGAGTGTTGGTAAAACCGGGTTACTTTGTAAAATATGATTTATCTGAAATTTATTCTCTTTTTGATAACTTAAGAGAATTAAAAAAACATTTTTCGCATAAGCTTAAAGTAAAAACATCCACAGTTAATACAACCTTGGGTTCAAGCCAAAAAAAACAATGTAAATTAAGTTCGTTGTTTTATTCATTATTAAATATTAAATAAGAACACCTTCGGCACGGCCTCCACGTCCAAGCTTTCCCCCTCAGCAGTTGTTTTGTTTGCTAGTACCTGCGTGCAGTTAAACACTACACGCTCAGCATAAGCTGAGTGGCAAATAACCAACAGACATATATATCATGTAATATATTTTGGGCCTTTTTAAGTTTTTCAATTTAATTCAAAAAGAAATAAAAAAAACTTTTCGCATAATTAAAAATCGTCGAGGAAATAATTTCACTTTGAATAGTTACTTGGGACATTTAGAAAACTTTTGACTACTAGGTTAACCACAGATTAGGAACTAAGCCGTGACTAGGCTGGAACACCGCACTAGTCGATTCGTAGTTTTACTTCGGATACCTCCCCGTGACCTTGGGTCCAGTAATCAGAAGTGAACCCTAGATCCACGGGGTCATCGTTGGGTTCTCGTGCGCACGCTGTGGTATGATTATTTATAGGCTCATCCACATGGACACGGTCCGGCCTTGAAATGTAGTTTCGTTTATATACTAGAACGTGACAATACCTGGTCAGGGTACGTCGTTAAAATAAACTTTGAACCTTTACTTAGTCCACTAATTGTTTGATTAATCTAGTAAAGTCGTTTACATCAATCGTGCGATTTATCTCTTAATCATCATAGGATGTTGTCCCCTTTTCATTTTCTAAAACATCATGCGACTTGATCAATTAGACATTCAAACCGGGAAAAAAGATTGCAAGTCTATTCATTCAACAATCATATACCAATATTTTTAAGGAAACAAACGGTCACTTACGACATGAAACAAAAACAATTAAATGGAGTCGACAAAAGTTTATTATGACATAAACAAAGTTTCATTTTTGTTTATAAAGCCAAACTGTTTTTTTTAACCTTCGACCAAACTGAAGTTTGATAAATCATAATCATTGATAATGAATAATCATTATAAAACCTTCGGCCCTTACTATTTAAAAGCAAAACTGTTTTTTTTTCAAGAAACAAACTGTTTTTTTTTAAATCTACTGCCGAAAGATAAGTCATCCTACTAAAAATTTTTATTTTTGTTATCAATTATTTTTTCCCTACCTTCGGTTAAAACTTTCTTTTTATAGAAAAGATAATAGTGGTACTAATGATAATAAAGAATAAAACCTTTGCCTTCGGTTATACAAAAGTATAATCACCATACTAATCACTTTTTTTTTTTATCATTTTTTTTCTTAACCTTCGGTTATACGGAGTATATATTTTTATATGTAGAAAAGATAATGATGGTACTAATACTAATAATGAATATAATAACAATGACAATAAAGAATAAAAACTTCATTTATGCCATTACCGAAAGTGTGCAAATGTATAACTACATTTTTTTTGGAAGCCAAGTGAAATTTATATTTGACATGTATATTTTTTTTATTATTATAATGACTAGTATCCTTCTCTTTTAATTTATTATCTCAAAGAGTAAATTCATGGTAATAAAAAAAATATTAACATGAAATATATATCTAAAGGTTAGGGTCAACGGCACACCTTAAGTGTCGGTTTTGACAAAACAATAGTTGGACAAATCTTGGCGGGATAATTCCGTGATGCGTCCCCCGCATATCTCTTTCTTCCTTTCGAGCAACACCACAACCCCGCTCCTACTAGCTCACTCCCTCTCCCTCTACTTAGCTATGATTATATTTTTTTTCCAAAATGATTATGTGTTCTCCCTTCCTAAGGAACCCTATTTATAGGGTGGGGAGAAGGTGCTAGAAAGTGATGGGAAGATGGATGGTTGTTAAATAAATAAAATATTATTTAAATATTTTTTTAATTAAATTATTAAAAGCAAATTATTAATCCTCTTAATGAGGTGAAATGAATGATGGAAGGGAGGTTACAATCCATTGTGGCGTGAGAAATGGAGGGAAAACAAAAGGTTTTTTTTTCCTGCTCTGTTGGTTTAGTACTACGTGTCCGATTTTCCAAGTTTCAATTTTCCAATTTTTTTGAAAAAAATAAAATTTATACCGTTGGATTCCATATTTTTGACACATCACTTTAGCATAATTTGTTTGTCAAGAAAATAGGTTCACTTGAACAAACTATATTATTTGCATAGTAGAGAACCAAACTATTCTTTTTATTCCCTTTCACTTTATTCTATTTTTTTTCCATCTCTACTAGTACTTAATTGTTTAAATTAAATCCTCGATTGTTTCTAAATAAACAATAGTAACATTTTTTTTAAATTTAAATTTTATTATTATTATTAATATTTTTCGTACATTTTTATTTTATATATTTTTTTAATTTCTTTGTACTAGAAAGTTAAAATTTCTAGACCGGTTTTCAGGGCGTTACAGGGGGTGAATAGCGTTTGATCGGAGAAATCGCAGGAATTAAAAAATTAAAATGGAAGTAAAGGGAAGAGAAAAAGGCACACCGAATTTTACCCTGGTTCACCACAACTTGTGGCTAATCCAGCCTCCCGAGAGACTCTCTCGAGTTACACTACTATCTCGTTAAGCTTGCGGGTGCTTAACAAACCGTTACAACTTGAGAGTTCGAGTTACACGAACCTCAACGAATCCTTCAAAGGAAACAATCCTTCCTTTGAATCAACCGAGAGAGGTACTATCTCTCAATGTGTCTAAGAACACAAGTACACTCAAGAACGAAACTCTCTTATAGAGTAGATTATGAGTAAACTAAGTACGCTCAAGAGCAACTCAACCTTCACACAAAAATGGCTCTAGAAAGCTATGAAAAAATGATGATATTTGAATGCAATGAAAGTATAGATGTTGTGAAGTGAATTCGTGAGAAAAAGCAGACCCAAACACCCCTTTTTATAGTGCCAAGATAGGCTCCAACGGACCAATACATTAAAGGGGTGATTGGCTTGATTTATGGGATTGAATAAATTTGGGATCTGCAGGATATTGGCTTCCCATCGATGTTTGGAACTTACCCATCGCTGGTAAGCCAATTTTCCTTCAGTTTTGAAGCCAACGGTTACCTACCCATCGATGGGTAAATGCTTCCCATCGCTGGGTGGGAGGTTGACTTTCAAATAAGGAAAGAATCAGCCTTAAATGACTCCCAACGGTCATGCCTTCCCATCGATGGTTAAGCCTTCCCATCGCTGGGTTCCCATCGATGGGTAAAGCTTCCCATCGCTGGGTAAGGGCATTCTGCCTTGTGATAATATTGGATCAAGGCTTGAACAGCGATGGGTA